AGGGAGGGAACCTTATCCTTGGCCTTCGACGGGAGGACGTGGCGTGTGTGCTTGATCCCGTGCCCTTTCCCCGCTGTTGCGGATTGTACGCACCTGGTACTGGTTATGGTCGGCAGGGCTGGAGTTGTGCCATTCTTGAAAGCGGTGTTTGTCGTTTTCCGTTTCGGGGACGTTGTGTAGATTCACCATGAGGGGGGCCCCTTGGTGCGTGTTATGGGGAATCGGGTGTCAGAAGATTGGTGCCCGTTTTCTTCGGAGGAGAGGGCGACCTCGACTGTCTCAGGGGAGAAAATACAACAATGTGAAACACAGTAGTTGAGATGACGTGATGTGTTGTGTCTGCGAGGGAGTAAAAAGACGGAGCCACCTAAAGGCGAGACAGGAAGGCTGCTGAAGGTAGCGCGTCGCACGTTATTTGTGTGTGCTCGAACTCTCACAATACCCTCGCCCCGTCAGGACCACGAGCTCGGGATTCTCGTCAGCGCGGCGAGGCTGGTCCACCTTACGCTGGCCCTCACCCCGCCGGCGGCCCGCGCGGTGGCCTTAGCCGACCCGGACGATGTCTCAGACGATGACGACGAAAGCGGCGACAGCGGCGGCGAGGAGGCTGCCCCTGTCTACCGTAGGCTAGGCCTACAAGAAGAGGAGCCTATCGAGGGCGGCCCTCATGGAAAGGGGAGAAAACGCGGACGCTCGGAGTTAGGCGGAGCTTCGAGCCAGCGAGGCGAAGAGGAGGAGGAGGAGGAGGAGGAGGAGGAGGAGGAAGAGGCGGAGAGAGAGGGTCTCGGCGTAACGGTTGGAGGTGGCGACGACGGCCAAGCTCGGGAAGGTTGGGAGGGCGGCGGCGGCGGCGGCGGCGGCGGCGGCGGCCGTGGGTCGACGCCGCCCCCGCTCCCGACGCTGTTTATCGCCGGAGTCCCGATGCCGTCGGAGGTTGGCGTTCATGGCCCCGTCGCCTCCGGGAGCAAGGTTGTTTCCTCGGACGGCGGCGGCAGCGGTGAGTCAGCAGCCGGCGAAGAGGCGGAGGATCTGGGGAGGAGGATACAGGATCGGCTGGTGGCTTTTTTCCACCACGGCGTGGCGTGCGGCTGCCCCGCGCTTGTCGAGGTCTGTTTGCAGGTGTGTCTGTGCGTGTCTTGTGTGTTTGTGCACGTGGGGGGGGCTGTTTGGTGCCGGTATGTGTCCAGGGAGCTGACCGGCACTACACCGAACACCGGCACTGTTCAACCGGCACCAACCCCCCCCCCCCCCCCCCCCCCCCCCCCCCCCCCCCCCCCCCCCCCCCCCCCC